CAATGAGAGCGCAGGAATGCATCTGAACAATCACACCCAGAAATAACAGACTGTTTGTGTTGTTTCCTTATCGGTCCAGGTAATAAATCTTAGGTAAAGAACTGTTTGACCCCAGTTTCACTTACCGGTATATATAAACTCACTTTTGTTGTTTTTACATGTTTTTGGAGTAGAAATGGTTTTAGCAAAGCTCTATGATTCAGATTTTACCTTTCCTGTGATTATCTTTGACTATTAATATATTATCTTTCTATCAGATGTAAATGTTTTAACATTGATTAACATGGGAAAGCATTTTCCATTCACTGTCTTTTATATTAGTTCATGAATATATTTACATTGTTACACTTCAACAAATACATTAATTTGTTTAATCTTTTCTATTTGCATCACTTAAGTGATTAAATAAATCACCACCTTAAAAATAGATTGGTCAATTCACCTAAAGAAACGGTCGAACTTTACCAATGTGGTTGGTGGTTACGTATCCAACCAATCTTCTGGTGAAAACTACCATTTGAATTTGGTAAAAGGGCAAACAAATAAAAATTGATCACTTTGACCAGCATAATGCTTAATTACTGTAACAACTAGGGTAGCAACTAATGACTATTTGGCAAATTGATTTCTGGATAAGGCATATTGAAGGACAACATTTTTTTTTTAAATCTTAAATGCAAATATTCATATATATATATTGTTTTAGCCCATAGACAGCAGGACCGTGACCCCACTTGGGATTAAGCGTGTCAGAAAATGGATGGATGGATGGAAGGATATATATTGTTTTATAGTTTTGGTTTAATTACTCTTCTAAGTAGGTTGCTCTGTCTGCTAAAGGCACATTCTAGAGTATCTTTACTCAAATTAATAATTAATCGATTTCTAAATAGATAGTTAATCACAATCTATCTGATTAATTATTTCAGCCTTAGTAACAACACTGAAAGCCTGAACCAGGGCTTATAAACCCCCATCCCCTTGGTTGCAAAGTAAACGCCTGCACCCAACACCACCGTCACCACTAACATGTGGTATTTAATACTACTTTATACTAATATTACATCCAAGGTTAATGCCAAGAATTGTATGCTACACATTTACACTTCATTCTAAATGTTCCTTAAGTCTAATTCTAACTATTGCACACTACACTTGACTGCAACCAAAAAAGTCAGATTAGTAAACAGTTATTTTTTCTTTGTTTATATGGTTAACCATTTAATGGATTGGTCAGTTTCAAAACAATATATTGCTCAGACTAACCAAAATGGATTTAACAAACTAGATTGTTTTTTCCCCCCAACCAATCCATTCTTAGAGTGCAGAAAAAAGCTCATAAGTCTACTGTATCTCAGTGATAGGTCCATCCAGTTACGTAGTGAAAGGAAGTTTTATGTATAGTCCCTTGTGCTGAGTTAATCATAGGCAAATATAACTATGAGTCTTATTGTTGGGTTAGTGTCATTCAGTCAAAAACATCACTGGATGCAAATTGAATAATTCTTTGTATGCAAGAAGGAAAACATTAAGGGTTAGTGGAAAGTATATGAAATATAAATTAGGGATGCTGGTGACAAGATACTCAAACGTTTATTATTTAACTTGACAAGCCTCCTCAGGAACCTTCTTTAAAAGTATTCTTCTCTTAATTTCTCCTGTTGCAATAAACTGGCTTCTCCTCTGCTTTATCCTGGCTGATAGACTTTCTTATGATGCATTGAAGCAGAGAGATCATCACTCTTTCCTAAAGTCCTCTAGTCCTCCTTAGGACCAACATGTTTCTAAAAGTCAAGCCAATTTCTAAAATTTCCCCAGATACACGTTATTGTGCAGAAGTCTCGAGTCACTAGACATTTTCTTTCCTTTTATACTTTCTTGTAATAATTTCAGTTTTTAAATGGTAATGCCTAACAGCATTCAGATTAAAGTTGCTCTGTTTCTGTTATTTGCCAACAAACTTTGACCTCCAAATATTTCAGGCATAATAAAACCTCATAAATGTAGGTAATGTGATGTGTTTGTTTACTGAACAGATAACTTAATTAACAAAACTATTTGATTTGAATCTTTGGACTAGTAATTTTTGGCAAAAATATCACAGAAACACAAACATTTCCATTTCTGTGGTTAAACCTTTAATATGCCAAATGTAGAAAATGCTAGAAATGAACAAAAGTCAAATAGAAGACCTTGGTCAAAAATAGGACAGAGCATAAGGGAACAAAGATCCAAAGTATAGAAAAGATCTTTACACCTGGCAAAATAAATGTTGATTGTGTAATAAATACCCAATAAATAAAATTTAAATAAATAAGTAATACCATAAAATGCAAAACACTCTTAGTGACCTAAAAGACATTTGTGACCTTCAGATCAAACCTAGTGTTGTGAAAAACACCCTTGAGTCCTTAAGATCTTCAGAACAAAGGGGATAAATCAGCCAAACACAAAGTTTGAACCTCCGTGTTTTGCTGTTGTAAATGGATTCTCTTTTTTTCTCTATATATCATAAAAAAATGGAATTTAAGCTTAAAAACATTCTCTGCTTCAAATTCTGTAAACTTCAGCACAAATAAAACTGTGCTTATTATTTTGGTTGCAGTGGAAATCATTGATAGTCTCGAGCATTTTTGTAAAATCAGAAATATTAGAGTGATTCTAGATTTCAGCCTCAATCCTGAGAAACAGTTCAGATCTGTTGTAAAAAACAAAAAAAACAAAAAACACCCTTTATCAATTAAGACTGTAAACCAAAGTGAAACCGTTTTTATCTTTTAACAATTTTGAACGAGTGATTCACACTTTTTTTTTAGCTCCAAACTTGATTGTTGTCATTCTTTGTATTTCGGTGTTAACCAGACAGCCTCTCACAACTGTTGTCTCCTAACACAAACAAAAAAGTGTGAACACACCTCCCTAGTACTGCTTCCCTTTATTTTTTGCATTAGAACACATCACAGTGTTAATGAAAGTATTATTACTTATTACTAGCAGGCTCAGCATGGCCAGGCACCTGTATATCTGTCGAATTTCTTGCAGCCTTATATACCCATTTGTTCATCTGTGCTTAGTTGTCCAAAGGTCCAGGTTGGTTCTTAGAGATGATCTAATGCCCAAATTTTTGTCATGATTGGTTTAAGCGATCTGACCCACATGCAGAGAAACAAGGAAAAAAGTTTAGCAGGTTTATTAAATGTAGATGAATATCAGACGTTGGATCTGGAACTCAGTGGACTGGTGAACCGGATCTGGAAAGTCTGAAGGGGAGATAACAGCGATCAGTTCAGGGACCGTAGGAAATTTGACTGAGGCTTGAATATTACTGGAGAGGGACTCACGTTTGAAGGGGCTTTTGTCAATCCTTGAATCCAGCTTGTGAGGTTAATCCAGAGAAGAGGGAACCTGTTGGAGGGCTGACAGGTAGACAAGCATTGGACCCAGAGGAGTAAAGGAGTGGACTGTCACTTGGATTTCCGAAGAGGACCTGAACGGATCATGTGGAGGTTTTCCCCTGCTCAGTGTGTACTCAGTTAATCCTTCCAGGGGGAGAAGGTCCAGGTATCCAGCTACTCAGGAATGCTTCCTACCGAAGAGCAAAGACAAAAACTAGATAAGACTCAGAGAAACAAAGCTTAGGTTAGACTCAGCTAATCTCAGCTTGGCTAGAGTACCCAAAACTGGCAAACACTCTGGCATCAAGGTAGTGACAGCCCACTGCTCAAATACTCCTCCAGTAATGATCCAACGAGCCGCGGGTGTGCAGGGAGGCCCAGAGGACAGGGCACCACCTGGTGGTGGAGAGAGAAAAACACACAAACAACCCACACAAATTGGATTCCTAACCAGCTCACATTTCTTTTTAAACAGGCTTCAATTCTTTGTATTTTTCAAAGTAACTCCTTATAACATATTAGTAGTCACTAATTGGATATTAACCTTCAATTATTGCGCCTGTATTTTCTCTTACTGTTAGTTGTTTTTATGCACTTCCACCAACTGAGTTTGTTCTTAAATATACTATATAAATAAATTAGATTTGATTCGGAAATGTCCCATTTCTTGCATTTATAACTGCAGT